ATCGTCCCAACCGCCCCAGGTATCTTTGTACTTTCGTGTCACGATGAGATAGAGCAAGAGACTGCCCGACATGAGCGTCATGAGCAGGCACCAACCCGTCGGTGCCCCAGCAAACCCCATAGTGTGAACGCACGCAATGAGTAAAAATGGAAAAAGAACTGCGCCCACCACAAGATTTACGGAAAGAGGAGTAGATAAATGCTGGCATGCAAAGTAACGTCGCAGTAATTCCAACATCATGGTGGGGAAAATACCCCACACCGAAATACGACAGTACTGTCCTGTAAAGACTATCACATCAGGATTCTGCCCAAGAAGCAGCAGAACTCGATCGGCAAACAGAATAATTGGGGAAAGGAGAAGACCAACAATCATTAACAGAAGAAACATGCGTTGAGTGTAAATGCCATACAACTTACTCATTGGATCTCTGCCGTATGTGTGGGAAAGCACCGTTTCCAGTGCCCCACAAAATCCCGAAGCAAAACCAAACGCCGTGGCATTAATAAGACCGTATGCAATTGAAGCACCACCCAACTCATTAACACCCAAACTCCCAACAACAGCAATCACAGAGACATTGATAGAAAACTGTGCGAGCTGAGCAAAACTTAGCGGGATAGTTATCACAATAATACGCTTAAATATTTCTCGTGTACTTATCGACTGCGGAATGTCCACTTGTTGGGCTGCTCCGCCAACAAACGAATTGTTCAGCGACGGCATAATTCAATGTAATAATAAAATTAACAACGGTAAATGTGATGCTCGCCTGTAAAACCTTTTTCTTTTTTTTTTTTTTTTTTACGGCTGTGCACCTCAATATATGTATGTAAACACACGTCTACTCCTGGAAAGCCAAATATAAGTACTAACTGGCTATATTTTTTTTTTTTTGTCGTTGTCGTTGTTGTTGTTTTGATGGTTTCTTTTAAAAGCCTTTGGCAAACCCACTCGTTTCCTTTTTTCTTTTTTTTTTTTTTATTATTTTATTATTATTTTATTATTATTATTCCTTTTTTCCTCGTCCTCTTCTTTTCTCGTGTGTACTTTTTTTTTTTTTTATATATTTTCCTTCTTTTTATTTTCCTTGCCTTTTTCCGCCCTCCCTCTCTCCCCCTCCCCCTCTCTCTCTCTCTCTCTGTCCTGCAAAAAAGGATCGCACACGGATATATGAATGCGTTTCTGTGCGTTGAAACACAACTGCACCCCTTAACCCCCTTTTCTTCTTCCCCGCCTGCTTCTTTTCTTTTCTTTTTTCCTTCTTTTTTCTCTTTGCTTCCCTTACGGCGTGCGCCTTCGTTAACGATGATGATACCGGCAGTCGGAATAACTTACTTATTTGCCCAAAATTAATTTCCTCGGCGCTGCGCTTCCAGCCCCCCTGCCCCCCCCAGCCCCACACACACACACACACACTTCTGTTATATCCCCCCTCGTTCCTACTTATTTACACCTGTGTGTTGGCAGAAGCAACGGCGTACGAGGGAAATGTGGGGGGAAACAAAAAAAAAAAAGAAAAGAAAGGAAAAGAAAAAGGCCCAAGAAAGGCAGATGTCACCTTAAAAAAAAAAAAAAAAAAACGCTTAACGGATGCTTTGCTTGGCTGTTATGTGTACTCTCACTTCGCCCTTTTACGCCCTAACCCCTTTTACTCTCTTTCTAATGACTGATTTTCCTCCCAACACGCGCGGTGTCCCTCGCCGTCTTTTGTTTGCCTCTGGAAGCACTCCAGCGGGAGATGTCAATTTGCAGGCTCTTCACACCGCTTCGGTCTTCATTTAAAATATATATTTATATATTGAAACACACACAAGAATAAAAAAAAAAAGAGAAGAAAAAGAAAAAAAGAAAAGAGAGAGAGAAAAAAGCAGATACCCATTGCGGAAGAGAAGGAAGAATAGAAAAGGATTCAAGACAAAAAAAAAAAAAAAAAGGTCAACACTCATTTCAAAACTTAAATAAAAATAAAAATACACAAAAAAGGCGGAGTTGATGCGCCTTTAAATTTCAAAGTATTCGCCTCTTACACGATGCATTAGGCTTTCACCGTCGTTGGCACCGCCATCCCTGCTACGGTTGCTGATTTTATGGTCGATGGTGGTAGAGCCGGCACAAGTCTTCGTGGGCAGCGGGGGAGACAATGGGGCTGACGACCCGAAGGAATTCGATGCGTGGAGGTGTCGGTACTGTCGCTGCAACGTCAGTGGTCGGCCCTCCAACCCTGCACTGTCCATCGTCCTGCTCGTATTGTACTGCGTCCCCATTTGCATGTATTCCTTTTCCAACGCCGCAGCCGCCGCCACTGTCGCCCCAGTCCGTCTCTTGCGGCCAATGACACGGCCAATAACTGCCAAACATCGCTGACGAGCATCCTGTGAAAGGGATAAACGCAGCTCCACTCCTGTTGAGGAACGACAAAGTATCACAGGAATGCTGATGGATGCAAGGCCATCCGCATTATTTTCATGATTCACATCCTTATTCACAAAAGAGGAAAAACCACAAACAATGAAGTTCCCTTCACGTGATCCAATGGCGTTAAAGAACTGGGCCACCCACGGCAGTGGCACACAACGCTCCTCTGTCTCAGCTTCATGCTTCATGGGTGCCGTGCTTCCCACGATTCGACGCGCCAACACTTTAGGGTCTTCCTGCAGCTCGGATATCTTCAGTACCTGATGGGACAATAGCCACTGCATCTCCGAGAAGGGAATGCGCAACACCCGCGATGTTGCATGACGCCGCAGGTAAAATGCACCGCTCTCCGTCAAGCCGCCTGTTGCCGCCTCAATAACAACAACGCCCAGCTCCAGCAATGCTGCCGTTGACGACGACAAGTTGGTAGTGGAGGGAATGGCCCTTATATGATCCCAAGTGCTCTCTGAAATGAGTAAAAGCCCCCGGGTCTCTTTCCAAGCGGCGCAAAGGCCACATTTTGTTAAAAATTCCTCCATTTGTGTCGCGCTATCATTAAAGAATCCGCCAAGATGTCGTTGTAACAACATGTTACCTGCCGATAGTCGTACTACACCGCAGGCATGCAGAATAGACTCTGCCGCAAGCTGACAACTGGAGGGAGCAACTTTCTTTTCCCTTACAATATCCTTTGAGGATGACGCAGAAAAAGGTGCTGAACCGTGCTGCACTTTACGCAATGCAGCAAGGAAAAAGCCCTCCGCACCGCTGTTACGGTGCGGAAGAACACGCAAACAGCAGGATTCAAGAGCTTTTTGAATCTCCCCATTTCCCTCAGGTGGAAAAAGTTCCACGGCGGTCCCCTCCCCCTTTGCTTCCGACTCTGCAAACGTATGTAAAAATCCGCCTGCACGTGACGGAACAAGCCAATGGGACAAACCACGACTAAAGTGCCAGCCGCTATCCGCCGTCATGAAATGTGGTGGCCGTATCAGCTCCACTTCACCATCGGCTAGTACGGTTGATATTACTGCCTCATTTTCCAAAGGATTCAGGGTGCATGTGGAGTAGACCACACACCCTCCTGCCGCGCACAACTCCACCGCGTGTCGCAGAAGCGACACCTGAGTAGTAAAAAATTCCATGGCTTTTAACGGGTGCCACATGCGCCACGACATGACATCCCTATGCATGCGGCCTTCACCAGAACAAGGGGCATCTACCAGTACCTTGTCGTATCGAACACCGCCCGATGCGATGGGTTGTGCCGGGAGTGTTTGACCCTGTATTTGCGTAACGGCAATACTCGGTGAAACACTCTGCAGACGCTGTGAGAGCGTCTTCGTGCGAGAAAATACGGCATCATTCGCTACAATGCAACCCGTCGCCAACAAAGATTTAGAGGATGAAGATATACCAAACATGTAGTCATGAATAAGAGTTGTTTTACTCCCTGGTGAGGCACACAAATCCAACACAGCTTCCCCGGGACGTGGATCAAGAAGAAGCACGGGCAACATACTCGATGTCGATTGAAAGGAAATGAGTCGTTCGTTTGAAAGTGCACGCAGCAGCTGTCTATTAGAAAGAAGTATATTGTGTGGTGTGTCTGGCGTGTCCAAGAGAACAAAGGCACCACACGTGGATGGAAGCCATGATAAAGGCTTTATGCCTGGCCGATCACGCAAAAGACACTCCACTGCTCTTCCGTACATCTGTGAGGTGTGCACGCGGAACCCCACAGGCTGGCGACCACGCATGGCTTTGAAAAGCTCCATCAACTCCACCTCATCCGCCACAAGTCCCTGGCGCATAAAATAACGAGAAAAGGAGGCATTTGGTGCCGTCACAACGTGATCCCGCCCCTGGCGCAAAGTTGCCAGGGCCGCCGTACTGTAGCCAGCGGCAACAAGAGAAGGGGTGCCACGCACCTCACTCCCGCCATTATCTCCATCTTGCAGCGATGGGGGCAGCACGGCATCATCGCTCTGCGCTGCGGGGGTCAATCGGCACCCCGCCTCCCCCATCCCGCCCAGCAGACGACGATGTTGGGTGAGCAGCGTTTCCATCTCACGCAATTCCTCCGGGGTACGGCAGGCCGCAAGGGCATTCTTGACCCACGTTGACTCCATCGTCAATTGCTGCTGCTGCTGCTGCTGCTGCTGTTTTTGTTGTTGTTGTTGTTGTTGTTCGAGAGTCACCTCCACTGCTGCCCGTGCAACGGCGTAACTTCCACGCCTCCGTGCCTCCTCAAAGACAAGATTGAGTGTGCCACGCACCCAACTCCCTCTCTGTCGCGGGCTGTCCCTGTAACGCCGCGGGACATGGCAGACATATTGACGTACCTCGCGTCGCACGGACTCGGGGCTCTTTAACAATGCGAAAAGTGACGTGATATTTCCATGCATCGATTTAAATGAGTCGTAGCGGCAAAAAAGTGATACCCGCATGGTTTCCACCCACTTTTTTTTTTAATTTTTAATTCGCCTTTTTTTGTTTGTTTGTTTGTTTCTCCTTCGAGTTCCGCTTTTATTATTCTTCTGCCTTCTTGTGTTGATCCTGCCGTGGATGGAGGGGGCCAACGTTACTTTCCGCTCCTACTCGCTTTGCCGACGCACCCCCCTCCCAACACTCCCACAGCCAACGGAAGAGTAAAAAAAAATTCTCTCCAGTATTTTACCACACGGTGGGGAAAAAGAAAAAAGGGAAAAAAAAAAAAAAAGAAGAAGAAGCGAATAAGGCAACCAAACACCATAGAGAACAATAATAATAACAACAACAAAAATAAATATATCCAGCTGTGCAGATATGAGTGGAGATATAAATAAATAAACACAAATACATATATATATATATATATACGGTTAGATGGGAGTTAGGAAAAAGGGTGCCTGCCGCAAGCACATCTCGAAAGTATTCCAAATATTTAAAAAGAAAAGAAAAAAGAAAAAAGAAAAGAAAAGAACAAAAAAGAAAAAAAAAGGGCATGTGTACATGTGTTTATATTTGTTTCTTGTCGTTTTCTCTTGCGTGTGTGTATGTGTGTGCGTGTGTCTTTTGTCATTTCAATCTCCTCGTATGTAAAGGCGGTCAACAATTATGTAAATTCATGTTCTTTTTCTCTCTCTTTCCCCCCGCCCCACAAATCCCTCTTTTTTTTTCTTTTTTTTTAGCTTAAAATTTCCACCAATGATACTACCTTCATACAAATACACACATAAATAAATAAATAAATAAATAAATGTGTATTTGTATGTGTATTTGTATGCATCATGGCTTTTCAGCTAACTTAATCCCTTTCTCCTTCACTCCACACAAATATACACAAAAATACACAAACCATTCGTTCCAACGGACCCCTTTTTTTTTCTTTTTTCTTTCCTTTTCTTTAAAGGAGAGAGAGAGAGGGGTGGGGGTGGGGGGGTATCAATTTGCTCACACGCTGATACATTTCCCTACCATCGCAGGTACAGCCCTAACCAGCAATGGCAATAATACTAATAATGATTACAAAATGAAAATACATACAAGTCATTCCTGGTAATAAAAGACAAAGCGTGAGTGAAGATGTTTTCTCCTCCCTCCCTCCCTCCCTCCTCCCTCCATCTAGCAAAAATAAAAATAAAAATAAATCACAAAAAAAAAAAAAAAAAAAATTCTAATTCGTAAAAAAAAAAAAAAAAAGAAATCAAAACAATGACACCTCACACTTTTGAAGCACTTTATTATTTATTCATTTATCTCCTTCTCTCTCCTTGTGTGCTTGTATGTTTGTTTAATTCTGCATGAATCATAATCAAGCGACTGTAATCCGCCTTTTTAAATACCTGCTACATACGCTGCATACCGCAACCTTTTGGGTTTTTTTTCTGACTCTTGTATAGATAGATAGATATGGATATGGATGAATCATCATGTACCGCCGCTCTGAAACTTGCGCCCAATGCGTACTTCTCCACCCCCTTTCTTTCTCCGAGACCTCCCAACATCTTCCCCCCTCTTCTGTTACGTTAAAGGAATCTTTTCAAGTGCAAAAAACAGTCGGCGTTGAAGTTCACGCAAATCTTCTTGCATATCTGCCCACTCCGCCTCTGTTGGAGCCCTTGTGTGCCGCTCAATACTGTTGAGTGTGAGCAATGAGTATTCTACCGCCTCCTGTAACGCCTTGGCTGGTCCGCCGCTGACTTTCTCTGAGTTCTCCGGGTTACTCCAGGCCTCTAAGCCTGCCGCAGTCTCCTCCGCATCTCCCTTGGCGCCAGCACCGCCATCCGGCTTCTTCAAAGTCTGCTTACGCATATTCGGCAGCGGCTCTAATGGGGTTACACTTCTGCTTTTCCTTTGCCGTTTTCCGTTGGTGGTGTTTTTACTTACCGAGTTGGAAGGTGGGGTGCCGTTGTGTACTTGCCGAAGTTGCATAATCTCCCGTTGCTGCTCAACAATACGATTCATAAGTCTAGCATTCTCCTCATTGCGTAATGTAATTACCTTCTGCAGCTCTTTTTCATTTTCCTCGGCATTCTCAACATCATTGTGCTCCTCCTCCTCGTCATCACTCTGATCAATCGTGTCAAATGGGACGTCAGCGTCTACCACCTCGACCGGGTACTTAAGGAGATCTGCCGGGGTACTTTTCGTTGGATGTGGAAGGGTACTAGGGACGGCAGCAAAGTCAACATGCTGCACGGTGCACTTATTCTCTGTAAAAACAAAGACATCAAACTTCATTTCTCGAGCAGCCTCTTGTCCCTTATCGGTGCGCATCATGCCTTCCACTTGTACGGTGACAACGCCTTGACTTTTATACTCTACAGAGGCTTCGGAATTCCAATACGCGTCAATGCCTTCCAATTTTTTCCCTTTGGCATTCAGCAGACGTATACGTAAAAATACACCGGGACTACTTGCTACCGCCACCATCTTTCCTTTGGTTTCAACTTGAACAGAAATCGGTTTTCCTGCCCATGTTCCTGCTGAAGACGTACAATACCACTCCGCTTTATTTCCTTCAATCGGTGCAATCGTCACATCGTCGGTGTCACAGTAGACAGAAAGTCGCCACTGATCCTCATAGGGGGTTTCTGTAAAAGGAATGTACACATACGATTCCCCTGCCTTTAGGTTAGCAGAAGTGGTAATGTAGCTGTTACTAGCAAAGTTGTTACTGGCGGCAAAGGTGGATTTTTGTGGTAGCGGAACAAGTGCCTTCAGATACCGCTTCTCCGGAGCAAAGGTGGTAAAGAGTCTTCCATGTAGACGGGGACGCATATTTTGTTCTTCCCCTTCCTCCTCACGGGACTGTGCACGTTGACGATCCACGGAAAGATATGATAACACAAATACCACACGGCAGTTTTCTTTCGGTTGCAGACGAATCTGAGAGTTACAGCGCCAATCAAATCCACTACCACCACGTCCCGTCAATTCGGTCCAAAAACCTTCCAAGACAGTACGCACCCATCCAACCTGCTCCGGCACTGCTGTAAGCTGAATGGGTTTGTCACCAAATGCGGAAAGTGCAAACTCCGTCTGACGACCTCGTTGACTTGTGAAGGGAACAACGACGTATGGGGTCTCACTCGGTTGAAGAGTACAATGAAGAACGTTTTCACAGTTGGAAGTATATTTCCCAATCTCAACCATACGTCCATGAAAGTCCAGCTGCTTAAGACCCGCCTTTGAAAGCTCAGGGTCTCCCTCAAAAAGAGCCAAACCCATGTACACCGTATTATTCTTCTTCTTCTTTAACATACGAGATTCGTAAAGTACGTCTTGAATCATAAAGGCAATGTCTGTTGTCTCCGTCACATATAGGTAAAATTGTGGATTGTCCATAAAGGTGGAAAAGATCGGCCGGCCACCGGAGGAGGTAACAGACCATTTATCCATAATGGTGACACCATAGTACGGGAATGGTGATTCAGTTTCTTGAGCAGTAGCACGACCGTACCCTTCACGGGCGGCATTTATACCAAAGGCTCGTGCAAGCCCTTCAAGTAAACGAAATTTCACTTCACCGTAGCGTAGATTATCCCGCGCAATGTCAAGATTGTGTTTGTTACTGCAGCATAAGTTCACCAGAGCATAGGAGGCAAGAATGGGTACCTGATGGTCACGTGTTCCTGCTGGACTAAATAATACATCAATAAGCAGATCAATTCCACCAAAGGAAGCTATAAGTTGCTGCATCTCGGAATCCCCATGAGCAAGACGACCCACACAATTTGTTGCTGCCTTCGTGAGGTTCACAACTTCCTCAGGGGCATTGCGTATCGTCTCAAGGAGTTTGGGAACAACCTCAAGCCGTTCAAAGCTGCGTCGTGCATCTGGGTACAGATCTACAATAGCAGCCACTGCTGTACATGCGGCCTCCTGAACTTGTTGGTTTGAGTAATTATAAATAAGTTCCACCAACTCCGTATATACAACAGGGGTAAGTTTCATTTTATTTTTCAGACAACCACGACATGCGGCTTCAAGCGCCACACACGCCGCCTCCTTGCAGCGCTCCTCTTTAACTTGTAATAACCGTGTCAGGGCATCCAGACCACCAATATCTTGAAACATCTCCCGCCCAGCATCATCCAAAACGCTGGCAATTGTCTGTGCCGCATTGGACCGGTAGAAGGTGGAGGCAGAACGGTCTACAAAGTACACAAGTCGTTGTAACCCACCAAGCTCACGAAAGCTCGCCTTCGATTCGGGGAACAAGACGCAGTGCGATGTTAAATCATCAAACGTTTCTGGTAGATTCGCCATAATGCGTGCAAGCTCTGTTTGTACCTTTAATTTCTTCTTCTGTCGACTCTGATGACGACGTTCGGCAAAGCGATCATTCTTTTCATCACCTTGCTGTGGGATTTGCTTCAGTTTTAGGAATTCGGCTGCTTCGTTGCTACGCTTATTTCGTAATTCCTCCTCCAGGCTCGCAATGTGACTTCGCATACGCTCAATCATTTCCTCCATTTCCGCCAATCGAGTGTAGTCAATTGCATTGCGTACAGGACGTAGGACTAACTGTAGGGCTCTCTTACCAAATTCGATCGTCGACTTCGTCTCGCCACTCCACAATGCACTGCAGGAAACGGCCAAGATGAAATGAATAAGATTTGACCCACCCAGACTAGACTGCAGCAAGTACGTGAGTTTACTGTCCTTGTATGGAACATGAATACGGCGTCCCTTGTGTTTTGCCTGCTCCACAAGTTTGGAGACAACAGTACCGAGTGCACTAAGGGATTTATTAATGTGGATTGCCTCCCACATGCTGTCGCCCTTTGCACCAGACTGTGTTAATCGCTCGGATCCTGCAAGATCAATAAGGTTCAGCTGCGCATGTGAACCGGGTAAAGAAGGCTCATCCCACTGCAGCTTCACCATCATAATCATATGACTGCGTGACGAGACAAGATTCATCTCAGTTGCGGACGTCGCACGCATCTCTGACGCCTTTGTGTAGAGTTTCATACTCTCTTCAAGACTCTTCACACGTGCCCATGTCGCATCTCGTGCGATATACTGCCCTGTACGGTCCATGTGTATTTCTAGATGTTTCTGGCCAGCCAATAGATCTTGTATCTTCTCTTGATATATCTGTACAAGACTCACCTCACAGACACTGTCTGTGATGTCTTTGTTCGCCTTAAACCGTTCAAATAAGGCGCTAATAAGTCGCGGCGTCAGTCCAATCCCTTCCGTTTTTGAGCGATTTCCCTCCATTGTGTACGTCTTGCCACTACCTGTCTGCCCATATGCAAAGACGGAGGCATTGTAGCCACTAAACAGCGTATTCAGCACCTCCGATCCAATAATGTCAAACACATCACTCTGCGCCGCATCGCGATCAAAGACGTGATCAAAGCGTGTCTGTAACTCCGGCCCGCCGTCTTCTCCTTTTATAAAGAGCGTGTCGGGCATCCGCGGGTCACCATGACAGATCAGATCGCCATTACCCTCCTTCTTCTCACGATCATTCAAAGGGCGTATACGCACGTACACGCGAGGGCGCGAGACGGCTGCCTTACTCATTCACACAAACACACACAAACAAACAAAAACAAAAAAACAACGTGAAGTTCAACGTGCTTCACCTTTCCCTAAACAACACTGAAACCACGCCAAACAACAACAACAAAAACAAAACAAAAAAGAAAGGGAGGGGAATGAAAAACAGACAACAGGGAATACATAAATAAATACACACAGATAGAGTGTGTGGGTGAGAGTGAGAAAAAATTGTCCACAAAAAAGAAAAAAAATAAATACGGCCATCGTAAGAACCGAAAAAAAAAAAAACAAAAAAAAAAGAAATGGGCTCCACACTCAGTTTTTCCCACGTGGCAGCACACGCCACACGGGACATGAGACTTCTTCCTCTGCTACCTTTTCGTACAGGAGCAAATAGGAGTCGGTAGAACGACTACGCCGTTTCTGCAAATACTCCAATGGCAGTACCTCCACCCGGATATCATCGGCTATGTGCCAGACCCTTGACGGCTTGCCCCCCTCCGTGTCAACATCGCTGCTGCCGGTGGTGGAGGTGGTGGTGGTGGTGCTTTCAACCTTGGGCGACTCTGATGCGGCGGCGTCCGTAGCAAACTCTGCAACGTAATGCCCGACAAAAGGGGAAAAACCGATATGTCGCACGAGGCCCCGTAGACGATAAAGGCAGCGGATGGCATCCACATGTGTCTCGGCGTCTTCCTCCTCTTCCTTTTCCTTTTTATCCATCTGCTCAGCGCTTGAACCATTAGAAGCATTTTCTCCCGCCCCAGATGGATCAATTGCCAACTTCCCCGTGTCCTCTCCCTCCTGTTGGTGCCTCTTCTCCGCATGCTGCTCTCGTAGTCTGGCTACACGCTCTGCCTCCCGTACGCACGGAGCCAACTGCTTCTTATCGCAGTCAAACTGTCCTTCCTCCCGCAACGCGTAAAGCGTAAGTTCATTATTGATAAAAACAGGTGTTTTGTCCTTTACAACACGCACATCATTATAAGAGTTAACGACCGTAGAATAACGATTCAGCTGTATCGCAAGAATCGGTGGTGCCGGACCCAAAAGACTGCCACCTTGATCCTGGTTTTGCGAAGAGCCGCAAGCATCACAGATGTATTTGTCAATAGACACATATCGGAGGTTGTAGTCCAATAATGTCTGAACGTCGTCGCAACGATTTATTGTTGATTTCTTTTCAAACGTTTCACGCAAAAGCAATTCATCCAGTTTCACTTCTGGCGGTTTACTGGAACTTATACCCACAGGTCCGTCAGGTGCGAATTCCCTGTTATCCGCAGCCGATGACGGTGGCGTCAATGTAGAGTCCGCCATCATTGTTTCTTCAATCCTTAGATTGATACACAGATTTATATAGGAATCCTTTGTGACGATTTCATGGCCACATCCCTCATTCCTGCAGCGGATGATATTCAATAGTTTTCCCCCAATAAGCTTGTTAATCCAAATAAGTGATGAATCAATGATGACGTTATTTTCAACGTCCTTTTCTTCACCCGTGTTTTCATCGTTCAAGATATGATTTCCCCCATATTCAGAAGTCATTGTATTATTCCCGTCATCACTCTTCTCCTTTTTTGCTTTCCTGCTTTTTAATTCTTCCATCGACTCCTCCTCAAGTTTGTTAATGACACTTAAAAAGAATTCATGCGCATCCTGCTGTTCCCCAGAGAAAAAGGATGTAGAAAAAAATTGACGCAACGGAGCCATGTCAATCCCATACATGATTTTTTCTGGCTTCTCAAGCAATCGGGCAAAATGCAGCAAAATCTGATGTACACTGTTAAAAGAGGGCCCCCGGTGCCGCTTATTAGGGATGAAAGACCATCTTGGGTACATTGTACCCATATCACCCGTTCCGTCACCGCTAAAGGCATCACTGTCGGGGGTTTCACTCAGTTTGGGGCTAAGCTCCAATTTATGTGCATCGTGCAAGGCGCGGCAAAAGTAAGGACTGCGAAGCAGAAGAGTCAAAACGCTGCATGCATAACAGTCGTTATGCGGGTTTATGAATCCACTTAAAAAAGAAGAACCACGGTCCAGCAGTGGTGGCCCATAAAACCCTCGTGAATAGTGATGAAGCATTGAATTGTTTGCAACGCTAGATGATAAGGCATACGCTTCCTTTTCTGAAGCACCATGAAGGAGAGAAAACCTGGATTCAGGTCTTTTGGTATCGTAATACGCTTCTCCAGGAAACATTGATGATCCTGCTGCTGCATAGGGGCTTTTTTCCCTGTGACCAGGCGATTCCTGAGACCCACTCTGTGGGGACTCACTTGCCAGACGATATTGCCTATATGCGCCGAAAAAGTGTGGGGAAACCGCGGCCCGTAGCGGAGGAGATGTCAAGTGTGTCTTCGCTGTTGCTGTTTCTGTTTCTGCTGATGTGGGTGGTGGTGCTGCTGGCGGTGGTTTGAATGGAGCCAGTAAACGCTGTTTCGGCATCCCAATATAAGGCGCCGTAAGAGGCGTAGTAACATTCTTTGAGGTAGTTGCTGTTTCCCTTGCACCAACTTTAGAAAAACAATAAAGTAAATATGAGGGGATCGACTTCGAAGTATTGCCGGTGGTGGAAGTATTCACCCCTGCCCCTCCTTCTCCTTCCCTTGTTAGAGCCATCTTTCCTATTGTAGACTCATTGTTGTCGTGATCACCCCACGCTAAATGCCATCGGCTTCTTTTCTGCAATGATGTGCCTGCGGTAACGGGCTCAGAGCACTTTCGGTGCGTGTCAGGAAGGGAAAGCCCCAACGTCAACGGGGCGTGATTCCATGAGGAATATTCCTTCAGCCGGGAATTAATTGTGGGAGCCGCGTAGTGATCCCCGCCCGCACGTGAATCATATGGAGAAATGCCTTCATTCGGTTTACCGTAGCACGGCGCCGCATACCGTGATGGCGTGACTGCCGTCTCACCACCTGTACCGGTGCTCTTCTTTTCGCTCATGTCAAAAAGGCCGCGACGTGCCTCCGTTGAGCTCATCGCTCGCGTCGCCTTGCCGTTAGCACCACCATTCACAGGCGATATTGCCTCCACTCGATTCTTCTTCAATACAGGAGAATATAACAGGCGTCCTGAAGCCGGAGAATTCTGTGTATTCGTCTGCTTCAAAGCATCATCCTTGTTACTGTGATTCGTGCGGTAGCGACGGTGGATCTGGTGATCACTCATCCCCATGGAATACGGTTTTTCGCCTTCCCTTTCTCGTATGTCTCCATCGACGCAATCCCCATCCGCATGATCGTTGCCACAAACGCCAGCGTAAGTGTTTTTACGCATTGGCGAAGTCGAATGGCTCCCATGGGCAAGAGGAAATGCTTGATTGTGCTTCAGATACCCATCATCACCCTGCAGTGCGTAACCTCTGGAATTTTCCGTGCGTTTGCTCTCGGCCTCCAGTACCTTTCGACCATATTTCATTTGGTAGGATGTAACGGTATTTCCTCTCGGCTTCCGTTCTTCTCCCTATCCCTCTTTCTCGCACAGTCTCTCTCTCTCTCCCTCTACGTATGTATGTATTTATTTATATATGGTTCTTTTTATTATTCTCCACCTCCTCTTCTCCTATTATATGCACACTTACCTTTTGCTTTTATTTTCTATTTTTTTCTTTTTTTTTTTTTTTGTTTTTTCTTGTTCTTTTTCGTTTATCGTGTTGCTGCTTCAATTGCTCTGTTTGCTCCGTGAAGTACGATGGCTGCTGCCTGTTCCACGGCCGGCCCACACACACACACACGCCCAAAGAGAGAGGAAAAAAAAAAAAGAAAGGGGGGGGGGTAAATCAGTACTTATGTGCACTGTGTGCTTGACTGCGTGCGTCGCGAGGAGCCGCACAGTCCGTTGTTTTTCGTTTTTTGTTTTTGTCCGTCACTCCCACACTTTTTGTTTTTTTTTTTTTTTTTTTTCAGCGGGTTCCTTCAAGTCTCCACAACTGTCTCGATGCGTCCTTTTTGTGTGTTTGTGTTGTGTTCACTTCTCCCTCCCCCCTGTTATCTGCCACGTCACCAGGCAATCCTACCCCCCCCTTCTCCCCACCCCTCCCAAAGACTTCCAAAAAAAAAAAAAAAAAAAAAAAAGAAAAGCAAAAAGAAAAAAAAAAATGAAAAAACAACCAC